AAAGATAAAATGACTCGGATCAGATTTGTGGCAAGGACATCCCTACCTTAGAAACAGGCTGAGGAGCTTGGACTAGAGGCTTCTTGAATTTTTAACAATTTTATTAATCAATGATCAGCCACACTGTCAGTCAATGACACAAACTGAGCACAATGAACATCTGTCCTGTGCCGATGTTGCTGTTGTTGTCAAAAGATGCGTGATTTCTGCTGCCAAGTCAATTCTATAAGGTACTTTGAAATTGGAACTCTGTCCTAGTTAATCCTAGTTTGTTTTAAACACATGAGCTCTGTCGGAGGTCATTAGGTGTTGCATAAGTTTTTGTCAGGGTGCCCGTTGCTAGCTAAACCCCCACAATGCTCTTTGCTTGCTAACATGAATTACAAGTAGTCTGAGTGACGCCTCCTCTGGTCTCTACAGTGTTAAACAGTAAGAGGCTCCACCTGGTGGAACAATCAGGTACTGCAGTTAATCGATAACACATTTTCTGACACGCATGTAGAGAAAACAGGTTTTCACTGACTTCTTGAGTTTGTGGAGCCTCAGTGCATCCGACCCTCTAACACTACATTTCAAACCGCATCCTGCCGGAGCTTTACAACAAGGTTTATGACCACTTGTGTAAATTAATGAACAACTTAGACACAGAAATACATTTTTTTCCTTAATGCACTGCAGAGACATTCAATTGTCGAGCTGTCAAGCATTTACAGTGGATTGGTTTTAGTACCTTTAATCTACTTGAAGTGTGTATTATCTTAGATACTGAAATTGGACCAAGACTTGGTCGTGTGTTCTGGTTCCTTGCTGGATTTTCTAGCACATTCAAAGTAATTTTGTTGGTGTCACTTTGTGCTTATGAGTCTATTTCAAAGACTCATTATTAGCTTATGCTGTTGTATTTCACTGTAACATTGCCCATCATGACTGAAACGTCCCTTTGTATTTCAGTCCTTGAACATAAATCACTACCGGTTGCCTCCCAAAAAATAGAAATACTTAATTAAATTGTTATTCTAAATTTTCAGCAACTATAGTTGACTCTGAAAAACTTTGATGGGGGCCAGTCCTAGTTTGCATGATGTATTAGGTTGGAAATCTTCTTAAACATGCTTTAGTTTTTAAATTTAAAGTCAAGAGCTGCTACAACTACCAACGGTTCCCTTCATACAGCAAGTTAGCTCCCACAAAAGTCACATTTTAAGAATTTCCGTTGTGTTCATGTTGATGAAGCTGCAACATGTCTTCACAATGTGCATCACAGACCTGATATAATCACGAATTTCAGTTCCCAAAACCTAAAATGAAGGGTTTGACATTGCTATCGGGCGGAACCTGCATCCCTCCCCGTCCTACCTGGATTGGTGGCGTGCTCCAGGTGTCCTAAGCTCGTCTGCTTGGTGATCCGGTAGATGAGTTCTCCCGGCTCGCTGTCCTGGTCGCTGGCCGACAGCTGCAGCGTCGTCAGCTTCTTCATGGTGTTTTCGTCCAGCACCAGGCCTTTGTTCACCACCACAGATGGAGGAAGACGGTCCTCTGCGAAGGAAAAGAGGCTCAGAGTTAGCAATAAAAACTTGTTGGCCGAGTTTGTGAAAACAGTTCACATCCAGAAGGAGTCATTTCTCATTCTGGTAAAAAAAAAAAGAAAAAAGAAGAAGCTGTGGAGCACAAAGACTGATTTGGAGAGAGTAGATAAGGAATGACACGACTACAAGTGGAAAAACCAGAAAAGATTAAGTTGGCCGACAGCAGAAGAGCGAGTATCAGGAGGTGTGAAAGAGCGATATAAGTTTGTGAGATTTGGATTTAGGAGAGACTGAGCGAAGGGCAGAGAAGTCATCAGAGGAAGGAGACAGAGCTTTGCTGGAGTCACATCTGAGAGAGAAAAATGTGGGAATAATACAGAACAAGATAAAAAAAAAAAAGGGAAAAAAAAGAAGAAAGATATGAGAGAATCAGGATGCTGTTGAACCGTGAGGGACAGAAAATCCTTCAAATGTAGAAAGTCTATATTCGAACTGCTGAACTGCTGTTTGGCTGCTTCCCCAGAAAAAGAAAAACTTAGTTTTCTGGTGTTTTCAGAGAGCAGAACACATCCGTCTGACACAAAACAACTCAGATATTCTCTCAAAACATAAACACATTTAAAAACAGTGGCTATCGATGAACAGATTTTGATTATCTATGATATGACCATGAACAAAAGTTTCCATGCACTTGTGAAGACCTTGTATATCATGGCAGCCTTGAGTTTCCTGTGACTCCTTTGACTCTTAATTTTCTATGATGGAATCATTGAAACACGTCGCAACCAACAATCATCCATTTTGGTTCTTCGATATATTATTTGAAGGTCTTATGGACATATGAAGAAGTCTGCTGGGTCAAAGACATACATACACCAAGCTGTGGTAATTACGTTTTCTTAAACGAGTGATTACGATTGACTACAGCTGTCGGCTCCTCTGTGCCAATTTGCTAAACTCGTCCGAATCAGCCACAAATACTAATAAAGTATACCACAAAGTCTGTGGAGCTCAGCAAAGACCTCAAAAAGCAAATCATCGACTTGAACGAAAACAGTACTTTGTAAGAATAAAGTTCCTGGTCCAGTTGTGTTACTGCCACGATCAGGAAGAAAACCCAAACTATCACCTGCTGTTGAGAGACGACTGCTCAGGATGGTCAAGAGTCAACCAGGAATCAGCAGAAAGCAGCTCTGGAGGAATCAGAAGCTGTCAGTGTCCACAGGGTTTGACATCAACATGAGCTGAACCATAAAGTTTCACTGAAGTTTGATCACATGGACAAAGAAAAGGCCTTCTAGATGAAAGTTCTGTGGTCAGATGCAACAAAAACTGAGCAGAAATCTGTTTGGAGGAGAGAAGGTGAGGCCTTTAACCCCAAGAACACCGACCCTACCATAAGGCATGGAGGTGGCAGCATCATGCTCTGGGGCTGTTCTGCTGAGCTTTGAGCTTTACACAAAGTCAATGGAATTTACTTTTTACTTCTTCAGGAAAACCTAAAACCATCAGCTGAAGGTTGATATTGGACACGGTTGAGTGTTTCGACAAGACGATGACTCCAAACACACATCAAAGAGGTAAAGAAATGGTTCAGTCAGGCTGGGATGAAGGTTCTAGACTGGTCTCCCCAGAATCCTGACTTAAACCCCATCAAGATCCTCTGGAGTGATGACGAAACAAGTCTGGGCCATCAAATTTAGTTCAACAGCATCAATTCAAAGATTCAAGAAGCTTGTGGACGGAAACCAGAAGCGTCTCGCTGCCAAAGGACGTTTGACCAAATATTTCTGTATGTATATTTTTGACCCAGCAGATTATTGATATTGTCATATTTTTAGAAGACCTTGAATAAATCCACAAAAGAACCAAAACATATGATTGTGTTTTTGCAACAAATGACTCCAACATAGAAAATTCTGAGTCATAGGAGTCACTGGAAACTCAGGACGACGATAAACATGCGGATTAATGTGTACACATCTGGAATATACATGTAAGGGTGGAAGCTAGCAGGCTGCCAACGTGGTGTCTAAGTACTGTGACTATGTTCTCATGATTCCTAAAGACTTCTTCTAAGGAAAGCTCCACAATTCGTATTCCGGCTGCGTCCTTTTGTCCACATCAGTAAGCATGCCCGACAAAGGGATACATCTGCAGTAATTGCCTTCTACTCCCCACTAAACGGAGGAACACTCGGCTGTTTGTAGCGCCGACGCAGGAAACCCACCGAGCACGCTGATGAAGAAGGACTGGTCGATCAGCTTGTTGCCCTCGGGGTCGACCAGGTTGAACTTGAACGACAGGCTGCCTCCCTTCTCGCCTTTCTCGTGGCTGAACTGCAGCAGACCTGGAGGACAAACACTCGGTTTAGAGGCTCGGCTACGAAACGCTAAACATCCATGAGTGGAGGTGAGTTACAGCTACAGAGACACAGAGTCCTGGACTGGTGGTTGGGTTGGAGGGAAATCTGCTGAACTGGTTTAAAGAGCCCTTAATGCACATTTACAGG